TATATTTTTTTTTGTATCGTCAATACTTGAAAAGTTACAGGCGTGTAAAGTCATTATTTTTGTATTATTAACTTTTTGTAAGTAAAAAATTGATGTTTTAATAATTTAATATATATATATATTTAATATTAGTTTCAATTGCATTTTGTTTTATAGTCAATAACCAAGTCTAACCTTTAAACATTTATTTTAATTATTTATAACAATGCTTTATGAGTAAGTTGATGAAATATAGAAAAATTATGTTTATTTCTTTGTATTTTAATGTTCAAGTTTAACAAATTAATTTAGTTAGGTGTTTGATTCTACTGTTTACTTCCCCTAAAAGATAATTCATGGAATTTAGAAAATTGTTTAATTGTCTATTGAAACTTATAAAACTAATTGAACTATCATCGACGCGTCTGTAGATATATCAAAAACCTCATAATTACCCAGGTGTGTTTTCCTTATGTGCAAATTTTGGTAGTTATGTCGCGGAACTCCCATACCTATAAATTTAATATGCTGTAGAATTTGTCATTCTGAACAAGGGCGCCCCTTTACCTTTTTTTCCCCCCTTTTCAGCAATGACCTAAGATTGGATCGAGGATGAGAGGTTTTGCTTAAGTCTCATACATATATATCTCCTCCCCCATTATTCGTACCCACCTAACCTAACCTTACTTGAATGATTTGCGAGATATCGATAAGATATCGTCATAGTTTAATATTTTCTAAAGCCGAAAAAAAAGGTGAAGAAGTAGTTTTCGCGTCAAACATATATACATATATTCTTATTTAGTATGACGAACTCTACAACATACCAAATGTTCAAGGTCATCGGACGGGGTTCCGCGACATAACCACCGAATTTTTAATGGGCGATTCTACAGATATATACAGCTCAGTCGGTAGAAGAGATTTCCCTTCATTGAACCCTGATTGTGGATTTAAAACCTATCTTGTATTCACCAATAGAAACATCCTAAATATATTTTTTTAAATTATAGGTATACTTCGTTACTGATTATCTTAAACGTTGATTCATGTATCTTTTGTCCGTTTGGATGTTAAATGTAGAAATCAAAATGTAATAAATATCCGTATGAAAATCAAAAACCACTGGACTAATTTAGAAAATGTAATTTACATTTATGTAATACAATAACGAGTTTCATGAATTGTGAAATTCTCTTATCGTACATAGAAAAATTATCAATTTTAATTTGAGGTTTATGCCCAGTTTACTTTAAACTACCAATTAACGTTCATAATGAGTAATTAACGATACATCCTTTGACCATATGAAAATTACTTCACGTCTAGGTAATATGTTATCATTTTTCTCTGTACTTATTTATATCATTATAGGAAGGATGTTTTTATATTTGATGTGTCGATAATAGATTGCAAGGTTGTAATTTGAAAACAATAATACATATGTAGAGACAATTGTCTAATAACATTCCTAAAATCAATTTGAACAATTTTTTAACATGAAATTATTATTTAAACTTATCGTTCCCCTCGATTTACATATTTCATGAAACTCTTCACGACTGCTATATCTTTTATTTCACGGTATTGTTGACGATGTAATGTTAAATATTATTTTTGATTTTTTTTCTGTTTATTTTTAGGTGCTGAGGAGGAGAGTCATTGGTCGTACGATGATCAAAGTAAGTAGCTTTTGTTTCGGCATATAATTTAGATCGTGTTTAATAATATATTTTTGGTATGGAAGTGTACTCCATTCGCCTATCACTTTACTCATAGTTTTTGTTTTATTAGTCGTCAAATATTTGACACATTAATACTCTGTTATAGTCTTTTTTATAATACGTTCTGGTTCTGGCGTGACTAAAAGATCAGTACTTGCATTTTTTTTAATAAGAATACTTCTGTGCTTTCCTTCAGTCTCTGGTTTTGGCTGTATAGCTAGTCTTTTAATGTTATCAGGATTCGTTATTAATCAATCCCGAAAATGTTTCCATTGTGATAGGCAGCTTCGATAAGACAACCACCACTTTGCTACATTTCCTTGGAGTTAGCTCGTGATGAAGTATGCTCAACCAATACTTGACAGTTTTTGGGTGTAAATGTATCTCAAATTTCTTCTACTTTTACGGGTAATTGAGGAATTGTTCTCTGGGATTCTGAAATGTTGTTTCATTTAATGCCAGATCGTTTCTATTACATTTAAATCGGAACTGCTGGCGGGCCAGAACAAGTCGGGCACGTCATCATCCCCAAAACATTTTTTGGTACTTTTAGACATGATGCGCCGTCCTGCTGATAAATGCAGGCTCCATTGGGATATGACTTCTCCATGGATCAAGTAAGTTAGTTTGGAGTATTTGTTGGCTTTTCTTCGCAATTCACTGTACAATCAATAAAATAAGGATTGCCCATTTCATCTACTGACATGCAGACCATACCATAATAGTATTAGGAAATTTCACGGTACGTTTAATTCAGTCTTTGTGAAAAGTTTCAGTCTTGCATCTGATTACTCTTTTCCGGTTATCGCCTACACACACATCTAGCTCCTTCGCTAAAAATTATTTTGTTCCAGTTTTTATAGTTCCAAGAGTGTTTTAATTTTGCCCAAATTAATAGTTTCTGTTTCTGGATTTTAGTTAGTTTATGTTTGTTGTATTAAAACGGTAATACCTCATTCTCATCACAAAACAATATGCATACTGCATATCTATGTATACTGCATATAATATAAAATCTGAGCCCAACTTTTTACGACAGCTTTCTCGTTAAACCTGCGTCTCACATTCTTTATGCCACTGACAGGTAATATGCCGTAAAGTGTTACGTCTACCTTATTTTCAAATGTTTAACAAAAGTCTTTAATCTTGTACACTTACAGTTTTGAACTGACCTGTACTTTTACCGCGGACGTTAGTATTTCCGTATTCGCCATATTGTTTTACGATATCCGCAACTGTAGTCTTGATGATAATAATATCAGTTGCTATTGGACGTATCGATTTGCCTATGCAAAATTGCTGGCTAATAATTTTTCTCATTTTTTTTTGTTAGTTGCAACCTCGCACATTTTTTTTATATACGCAATTTAACAACAAGAAATTATGCACTTCTAATGATGTGTATAATATATATATTCAGATCCTATTAAAGGTACGAAGAGGGATTTTAAATTACACGAGGCCTTACCATCAAGATGGTCAAATGTGGTAGCCTATGGTCTGCCTAAGGAACAATTAACAAATTTGTATGGTAAATATAAATTTCCGAGTAACTGTAAGTTACTCCATGTCCCCGTTGTTAATTCTGAAATAAATGCCGTGATGTCGGCAGCACACAACACCAGGGACACTTAGCTTTCTAATTACCAACTACAGCTGAGGAAAGGAATAACGGCGGTAGGTAAAGCTGTAAACAAAATTTTAAAAGGAGAGGAGAACCTTTCCGCACTACTGGCAGGCGCAACCGGTATTTTTACAGGCCTAAATTATAATATTTCGCAAATTAGGCGACATCTAATCTTAACAAGTTTAAATAATCCGATTACAGATTTAGTCGAGAAAATTCCCCCCAAGAGAGAGAAATTAAGTTTGTTAAATCTTTAAAGCGCACTGGAAAGAAAATTTATCCTTTCACCCATCAAAATTATTTTGCTAATATTTATAGGAGAAGAAAAGGTTAGGGGGGGAAGGGGATGAATCGCAACGAATTATTTAAACTAAAGACGCTTTGCTTACTTCAGGAGGGAAGTGAAGTATCAAAAAGGGCAGACTGCCTTCAAGAGAGAAAAACTTCCAAATCAAGAGACGGTAGAGATAAGTGATACAAAGTTAGCTGGTAGTCCTCAACTATTTAAAAAATTCTTGGTCTTGTCTTAGATGAAAGGTTACAAAATTCCTTTCCCTAATCCACCATGGAGGGAAATCACCAACTTGCAAAGATTCTCTGGCGATGTTTTTATTTTAGTGAAATTAATGACCTGTTAACAATTGCAGCTATCTTCTGACAGCAGTCCTTGTCAAGGACCGTTTCTTTCACCAATGTTCTTGCCATATAAACCAAACGGCATAAAAACATTCATTTTAGATCTGAAAAAACTTAACGTTTTTACAGTTTCCCCTCATTTTAAGACGGAGGATCAGAGAACTGGGTTACGGTTAATTTCAAAATGTATGTTTATGGCTTCTTTTGTTTTAAAAGATGTATATTTTTTACATCCAGTTGATTTTAAGTATCAAAAATTCCTCGAATTTATATTTGACAACCAAACATTTGGGTTTTATCTGCATTCCGTTAGGCCTATCTTCAGCCCACTTTTGTTTTACAAAACTATTAAAGCCAGTTATTTCTGTCCTTGGTTTTTAAGGTATATCTTATGTAAATTGCCTAGACGATTTTTTAATAATGGAAGATTCTTTCCAAACTTCTCAGAAAAATATCAATATAACTCTCAAACTTTTACAGTCTCTTAGATTTATAGTCAGCTAGATTTTACTCACGGCTTTACTTGCGTTGATGTCCTAAGTACGTCGACGACCACATAATACTAATTTTTTCTATTCTCGGAACAGCATTTTTCTTCTGAATAAAATAACCCTATGCCCTTTTCTGTACCTCTGACAATGTGTCTACAAAATTTCATGATGATCGATGAGTAAAGGCGTGAAGTCGACGTGATAAAACTAATTTTTTGCTGTCCCTCGGGAACAATATTTTTTTCTGAACAAAAGGTACCTTATGTTCCTTTCTGTATCCCTGACAATATGTCTACAAAATTTCTTAATGAAGGATTGAGTAGTTAAGAAAAAGTGAAAAGTCAACAAACAAATATTCACGTTTATAATATTAGTTGAGATTTTGAAGTCTGGTACCGACTACTACTTGTAAATTTCTTGGATTTATTTACGATAGCATAAACCTAAAGGTTTTATTACCGGAAAAAAAGAGAAAAAAACATAAGAATGCTTGCAACATACATGGTGCCTCACGGTGACCACCCATTAGAATATTTTAGAAACTACTTCGATTAAAATTTTAATAGTTTGGCCATTAGCGTTACGGCATCTGTGTAGCACTTCCGGATATACCGCAAATTGATACCAACCTCGTTATTTTAAATGGAACACCCTATTATTACGATTTTGTATTCTACTTATGATTTTTGGTATATTTTCATAAGACTTTCTTACTTCTAAAATATACTGTTTGCGAGATATTTATTTCTTTTAAAAAGAAGTATCATACAACAGTAGGCAGAGAAAAAACATGCCTATTTTAAATTAAGAAAGCTGGAACAACAATTTTCTCAGGAGAAATAACTATACCTCTAGGTTTCCGTCCATACAGTTAAAGTTAAAGTTGGTTAATTACATACAGGGTGATATTTGATGGCGAATTTGATAAACTTCAAATAACCTTAAGTTCATTTTTTCCAGTGGAACATCCTCTATGTATTCGCATTAGTCGAATAGAGAGTTCCCCCACGTCTAGTTTTCAAATTACTTACTGTTCTTTGTGAAAGTAGCATAAATCGTTTTAATTGAAGAGAGCACACAAAATAACGTTAATGTCCAAATTTGTAAAATTTAATTCGAAGTAGTTTCCAAAATATTCTAATGGGTGCTCACCGAGAGATGCGATAACACAACCGTCATATCTTATATGAACCGGATGGGCGGTATTCAATTCGTTAATGTCTCCAATCTTGCAAAAGAAATATGGCAGTGGCGTGAATCCAAAACTATTTTTGTGTTCGCATTATATATTAGCTCCGAAGGTAATTAAAAACCAGATAAAAAATCACGATGCGTGTCGGAATGGTCATTATCTCAAGAAATATTTAAGCTAATTCCAATAAAACTTGATAATCTAGAAATGGACCTCTTTGCCTCAAATATCAACTTTAACTGCACAAACTAATACGTACCATGGAACAGAGATCCAGGGAGTATTGCAGTCGATGCATTTACAATTAATTGGAATGGTTTCCTTTTCTATGCTATTCCTCGTTTAAGTATGATTTGAAGAACAATTCAGAAAATTATTCAAGACAAGGCCGGTACCCTCATTTTAAAAAATTAACTATAGGTCAAGGAATTCGTCCTGAACCCAACGTAAATCTTGTTTTCTTTCCATTTAGGAAGACTCATCCGCATGCGGATCAGCTTTCATTGGTGGCCGCGAGGTTTTTTTCGGATTCTATTAATTTTATTTACTTTAAATAATTTTATAATTGTAATTGGACCAATCTATCGTAACATCAACTTTATGTCTTGAGCATCTACGTGATTAATTCTAGTGATATCGAGGACTGAACGGGAAATGTAATTTATCGATCAAACAAACTTACCTTGTGAAGTTTTATTGAATTTATATGATCGACCAGTCCGAAGATCTACTCTGCCGCCCAGACCGAGGAAGTTGCAGATACGTTATTACCTTATAATCTTTAAAGACGATGAGAATACTGGCTAGCGTATAGTTACGGGTAGGTAACGGGAGCTCGACTCTTTGAATAAGCTGTACGGTAGATATCCAGTAGTTAATTCTAGTGATATCTTCGGACTGGACGCTCATATTATTTCGATTGAACTTCACAAGGTAAGTTCATTTGATCGATAAATTGTTACTAATTATTACGTACAATTGACTTACCTACGTATCAATATGTGCGTGTTTTATCGAAAGCCGATAAGGTAACTCGATAACTGTTCTCAATCAATGACGTCTTGTTAACTGGGGCTTCTTTTGTGCATATTTTTACATCCCCTACGTTGTGGTTTTATGACGAGATGCACTCTACAGTGGCTCCAGATATTATCCTTCAAATATCCTGGAGTACTGATCAGTTATAGTGTTTATAAATGAATACCAAACACTAACTAGATAAATTTGTATTTAGCATTGTCACTGTTATATTCCTTTTACTTAATTTCTTTTTTTTGCAGATGATTGGCCTGAACTTTGTAACAGTGGAACCAGACAATCTCCAATCGACATTCGAACACCTTCGATAGAACAATCGCATTTTTCACCTTTTATATTCAGTGGGTATTCCGAACGTTTTTTTGCTGATGTAACTAATACTGGCCATACAGGTAAGACACAAACAACGATAAATAAAAAAGACAAAGTTACAAAATGGTATATCAGCTACAATGATTTTTTTACAACATAGAAGATTATTTAGGTGGAAGAAGAATAATTTATATCACTGATTAGTGTAATATGTCTAATTTGTTGTCTTCTAGTCATTCTATTCTATTTGTTTCTATAAAACATACTACTATTTCGTCTAGCGGATAATTAGCAATAACTCGTTATTTATTTAAATCATATTCCGCCTAACAAGATTAGATCCACTTTAGCATTAGATAGATTAAAACAAATCTATCAAATTCCTACATTTATCATTATCCAACATAAATATTATAATAAATACACTTTTGCTTTTATTTTAAGACATAACCCGATTAAAAAGGTTTGGATCTAATGCCATATGACTGGATCGAAACAAATTTGGGCGCGATTCAAGCGGATACAAGCAGTTCCAACAAAACATTTTAATATGCCAAATTGTTAAATAAATCGTTTATGTACAATATTAATTTACATTATTACTAATATATTGAAAAGATCTACGAAAAAAAAAAATAAAAAAAAGGAATTTGGAGACGATTTTCCGAGTATATACACTTATAACCCCGGCCACTTAACCGTCAAGGTAGTTAGCCGATTTGATGCTGTTTATGTTCAGTTAATCCCGTGTTCATTGAAGTCCCTAACTGCTGCAATGATATATCACTGGACGTCTATACTACAAATTACTTAACGTGGAGTACCTTTTACAAAGTACTTTTTGAGGCCAACAAAAATAATGTTGACCATCATTTTGCATTATTGAAAAATTTGAAGTGTTTTTTCCGAAAATTCAGAGATATTCTTTTCTTATAGTGTTTTATAAACGATCAGAAATGACTTTTAATATAATTCTACACAATTTGAAATTCCCCCAGAATTTTAGTTTCGAAAATGGAGGATAATCTATTTATTATAAATAAAATTACTTTCATTATTATATTTCTGCTTTCTTAGTTTTCACTGGTTAACTTTGAGCAAGTAAAGACAGGCCGTTGCCAAAGAACCGCACTGGTATACGTTACGATGGAAAACAATTTGCTTATTACATTATTGTTATTATTATTATTATTTTCTGGTCTCATTTTTTTATTATTATTATTACCAATATTATATTAGTTCTATTAGTTATAAATAATTTGCTAAAACATCTAAGTAAATATAACTATTTATACTGGTATGTGCTCGAATATGTGTGTATATCCTGCGATATGCTTCGGTATTCGTATATCTGCCTGGATATAATTCTCTGTATACCTCTATACCTTCTTGTATATAATTGCATCTGAGATATTTTTGAATGTAAAGTAATACATTAATAATACAATACAATTATACAGATACGACATACAATCGTATACCACTGGATCCAAACCTTTTTCATCACATACACAGTAATCCTTTCTACATGCAAATGTTATTGCATCCACTTTCACAAAAATTATTATTTTCCCTTTTTCATACCAGACTCTTAACACTGTCTGTCAGTTTAATAAAGTAAATAACTTAACAAAACTGTTATCATTGCCATAAACAACGATTTCAGTATTTGTAAGTAACTAAACCATTATACGAAAAATTGAGCAAAAACCATAAATATCGATTTTCTTTCCGCTTAACAGTAACAGTAATAATAAACATCACAGTAGTTCTTTTACATAGCAAATAATCCTATTAATCTAAACAAACATGGGAAACCACAAATTATTTAGGTAAAAACAATAAAAATGTCACAATGACACTGTTATAAATTTAATTGGGGCGCAACAAGCAGATATTTTAAAGAAAGTATGAATTAACATAAACAGAGCTATGTTAATGAAACAAAGCTTATATTGTTTTGATTTTAGAATTTTGTGGTTCGAAGAGGAAGTTTTAAAATTAATATAGCAGTTCTAAAATTAAAATTGGAAATGTAGGCTTAAATAAATTAAACCCGGGTTTATTATCATTTATGATGAAATTGATGTAAATAATTATTGTAATGTTATATACGTTAAGTTTCCGTTTCTTGGATTTTCTTTTGATTGAAGCCTTTCTTTAAAAAATAATGTATATACAACAGGAATTTACCGAAGCTAAACGTCTATTTCTTCCTTCCAAAAGTTCCAGATAGCTGTCTAAACTATTAAAATTATAAACTTATTTATAATTTTGAAAGATTGTGTATATTTCTGTCTAGATTTTTTTTTAGTTAGATGATAATCTACATGAATTCTTATTTCAGTAAGAATAAACTTACGAAATGACAGTAAAGTACCTACCGTAGAAGAAGGTGGGTTGCCAGGAACCTATGCTTTAGATTCTGTTCATTTTCATTGGAATTCTGAACACACGATAAACGGCCGTAGGTAAGTAGACATTTATGAAACTCTTCTGTAAAACATACAAGTTTACTTTTTTCGTTAATTTCTAAGGTATCCTGCCGAGCTTCATGCAGTGCATTATGATGTCAAGTATGGAAATGTGGATAACGCAATAACACATGAAAATGGTGTTGCAGTATTTGCTATTTTGTTCGAAGTATGTTTACACAATCATCAATAGCAGTTAATTATTATGTTAAGTTTTCCATTATTATAAGGGTGTTATATCTCTAAAGCTGATATTTTTCAAGTTATGATTACTTCAAGATAAAAATTTTAGGTATATTAACCATTTTCAAAAGCTTCTTGGGAAGCGGGAAAGTTAAAACTTCCATTTTTTTTTAACGTAGACCTAATGATACAACTCTATTTTATATTCATTTAAACAAACGACCTGTAAAAAACTGTAACAAATCATTTTTTTCAATTGGCACCACACACGTTTGGCTACACAAACAGATAGATTAAGAACAAACGATTTTTTAATGCTAATTGATACCTACCTCGAATGAGGTGTTTTTCGAGAAATTTTTGTTGTACGTTTCATTTATAGAAAATAATCTTCTAGAAAACCGTGAAGAAATTATGAAATTGGCCACAGTTTTGAAAACATCTTCATTAAGTGGATGTCTTTGCTTGAAGAAGTGCACGAACTTTCAAATCGTAACATATTTTCTTTCCATATAACACAGCACAGTTTGGATAAATCACCACGATTTGTTTTTTTGTAAATATGCAAATGGAACAGCTTACGATCATGTTTCATTTTAACAAGGCATGCAGTTGTAACTGCTTGTAAATAGTTAATATAATAAAAATGATTTATTATCAGATTTCTTCGGAAGATAATGAGAACTTCAATCCTATAATGCCGGTGATCGACGAAGTAGATGATACTGTTGGAATGACAGCACGAACTGACCAGCGATTTTCTCCTAACATATTTTTTCCACGTGATACTTCTGGGTATTACCGCTATATTGGATCATTAACCACACCAGATTGCAATGAAGGTGTCATTTGGACAATATTTAGAAATGTATTACGTATCTCTGAATCTCAGGTGGGTATTATACGCATTTCTTCCTTCACTTTGTTTGTCAAAAATTATTTTGTTACACGAGAGCATTTAATAAGTACGCCATTTTCAAATGCAAACTTAACTAATTGCTTATTCTGATAGTTAAAACCATTTATCATAACGAAGATTTCTGCCTCTAATATGTCTCTGACCAGACCTTCACGACTGAGAACGTGTCCTACCAACCTATCTCGTTTATTTCTTAATGAATTCTATAAAGTCCTCTGTCTTCCTATTCTTTATAATACCTCTTTATTTCCAATCTTCTCTATCCACGGTATCCTCATCGCGCCCACCGTCCGTGTTTCGCTAAACTTAGCATGTCTGCATAAACCGCAGCTACGTTTTCTTTACAGTAAGATGATGTAGGCATGTAGATCTGCACTAATACGGTTTTTACGGGCTTCGAGTTCAATTTAACCATAACTCTCCTATCGTTTTTTTGTTGTAAATAACTTTCTGCACTCTGCCCTACTTTCCCACGTATTACAATAATTATCCCCAAATAATCTTCCACCATTAATAGGTAACATCTATAAAAAACTGTTTTACTTTTATTAATATAAAAAAGAAACACAATAAGTACTGCCGATATACTCAACGGTGGTACCTATATCTACATATTAAGTGTGTAATTTTTGTTTACAACTTTATTTGTCTTAATTGTAATTTCAATAATCAAATAATTGACACTGTCCTCGCTTTTTCCTGCTGTTACAATTTTTTAGTTCATTTCAAATAATTCAAAAACAGTGAATACGATAGATTTTCACATATAACCATATTTTTCTTACGATCTGCTTTAGGTTTCGTATTTCACAAACATACAGTCAGAAACAGGCCTTCTAACAGAAAACTACAGAACTCTGCAAGCTGTCAATAATCGTCCGGTATACGAAAATATTAGCCCACTTCCAAAAATACATCAAAGGCTGGTATATTAGCATCCATGAAGTTGTTGATGCTATTTTCAATATTATATTTACATTTAAAATAACATCTGTTCTTGTGTAAAGTCCTTGCCAGTGCTATAACAATGTGCCCTTCTTTCATTTTTATTGGGGCAATTTGTAATCCAAACTGTATATACTTGTACTTTTGCTGTGCAGATGTTTTATACAATTGACACTACCTCAGTTTTGTTATCAGTATTTTTATATCAGTTGTTCTTAATTAATCAGTTTATATGTAAATATGTAAGGTTATTATACAAAGCAGATATTAAAAATGTTTTAACGACACCACAGCGTTTTTTATAATCGTCCTAAACGGTTGGTTAGTAGTTTGTACTACCACTCGCGCTGGTTCTTTCTCCAATCAAGGTATACAGTTATTGAAAATTTGACCCTAACCGCTAATGGTAACGAAGCGCGTTTTCAAACGTGCATATTCAGGTGTTCAGCTTCGAAATAAGCTTACAATCGCCTCGGGAGACCAGAGAAATTGATAGTGAAAACATCCCGAATACAAAACATGAAATAAAAGCAATTCATTATAAACCAATACATAAAAGTTGGTAAATATAAAAGAAACTTGTCCCCACCCTTGAAAGTCTCTACTTTCGAAAATTAAAAAAAAAAAAGAATGAAATTTTAAATATAAGCAAAACAAATCAAATCTTTATGAAATGAAAGTGTAAATTTAATCATCACTGGGACACAACGAAAGCTCGCAAAATTTATCAACTGCTCTCTTCAGTTTGCCAATTCAAGTTTTTAGGGAAACTGCCCTGACTACGCTGTCCATTCCTGGAAAGAGCCGAATAACCCAACATAAACGCCACAGGTAGGTTTCCTTCCTTGACAAGAACCAAGCCTTCTGGTTTAACCCCGGGTTGATTAGTTCTCCACTTCACACGGTGCTACAATTCGGAGAGGTATTCTTTACTCCAGCGCGTTCAAAATCGATTCGATGGAAGGGTTAATGAACTTGGGTCGGCTATAGATGCTGGTGGTTTTCCAATCAAGAAGTGAGCGGGGGTTAGTGCGGAAAGATTGCTAGGATCGTTTGAGAGAAGATGCATGGGTCTGGAATTTAAGGCGGCTTCTATTTAATGTAATGAATTTGTTAACTGTTCAACAGTTAATAGCGCATTACGGGTAACGCGTCTTATATGAAATTTTGGAGCTTTTACTCTCGACTCCCACACTGAACGTACGTGACAATAAAAATATACAATTGTAATAATGAATAATAAATTATATTTCAGTGAATGAAACTTTAAATGCACATAATGGAACTGCTTTTATTGAAATTTTCGAATATGCAAACTTCATTACCTGTACGAAATTATGGTTGTTTCATTTATGATTCGGTTTGATTTCGTGACATATAAATAGCACTAATGTTCAGATCTGAAAAAGTTCATAGTAATTACGTCACATATTTGTATCATGTATTAGCGAAAGAATTTTGCTGCCGCTTTATATTATTTATGTATTCATGCATTTGGATTATGAATCCAGTCGCACTAATTGAAGGAAAAAGTGCTTTCGTGAAGATTAATTTTTTTATTTTACCTAAAAATTCTTTTATATTAAATAGGTTACATAAAAAATAGTAATTAAATACATTTACAATCAAAAAACATAATGAAAATGAAACTTAATTACGAGAAATTATTTAAATTAGATGTCTGAATTGGCTCACTTTTTGCCCTCCAGTGTCTTGTAAAATTGGACCTTAAAAACAAAGAATTCCATTCCTGAGAGTCCGTTATTGTGAAACGGGTAATACTTTTATACTCATTCTCCCGTTTAGATAGTACCCTTTACCAAAGTACTAAGTACCTACTCATGTAGAACCTGCAATAGTGTTTCGGTTATACCATCATTAAATAAGGCACAGTTTCCTTTTTATGACTTTCACACTAATGGAACCCTTTCTACATAAAAAGTTTAAAATATTTTATTAACTAGTGTCCAAGTTTCCAATAAGTGTAACTCGGACTCTTATTGTTTACCAAGGTCGCGCACAAAATCTACTAAATGAAGCAATAAAAGCATCGCTCGCAAACAAAATGGCAATGTACCAATTGAACCTGTCTAGATTCACACCACCATAGGACCGGCGTAATAGAGGGCAAATTTCCCATTTGGAGATTTACTGTACTGGGTCATACTTTAACACACCTTATGAAATCGCGAACTATTTGGAACATGTGTTCTCTCTTTTATTCAAGAGTTTAGTAAATTCGTGTTGTCCCAATATAGTAGAATGGAATATGACGCTTTTGGTAAGAAAATTCAGAATAATTTAATCAAACACTCACCCTTCAAATTTCTATTTTATCTAAAAATTGATTTAACCTTGGTAGCTTTGATATGGAATGTACCCACTACTAAATTTATTCTAAGAATCACAAGCACCGATCTTCTCAAAACGTCACTACCCTGCTAGTTTTCCTTTCCAATCGGTTGTGGTTTCCTCTGATGTTCCTTCCCTTTTTTTAAATATCATTCTTATAGTTTCCTTTTCCTACTAGTTTTTTTTTTCTATTTTTGGTTATCTTTATCCTAAAGTTACATTTCTTTTCTCTACCCTTACGTCTTCATGCATGGCCTATCGTTTCCCGACATCTGTTTTTCCATTTTTCGCCACGAAATCAGCATTAAAAACCAAATCGTTTTTTATCGTTAATTTTCGTCCTTCTCTCACACCCTACTCTCAGCCCCTCCTTATACCAATCCTCGCTTAGAACTGAGGTTAGTATTAATAGCCGATAGTTTCATCAGTACAAGCATCTCTGACATCCCAACCACCAAAGGCAAGGGAGAGAGAGAGAGAGATAAGTCTATATTTCCGTTTTTAAACAAAGTTTTGGATTTGGGACACTCGAGTAGCAACAAATATCTGTAAAAGGTGAAGGGAAGTTTTAAGCCACCCGAGGACTATGACAGAATCCATCTAAAATATATATCCAACATACGGAACATTGAGAGAAGCTTTTACTCTTTTTACGAGTGTTGCCAAAATTAAAGCCACACCCAGCTCCAAACGAGGAATGGTTATAGTTTTCAGTGGAGCCACGAACAGAAACACGAAATACACATAAATAAAAATTTGTAGAAAAAGAAAATTGAAGCACACGTAGCAAAAGGACACAGGAAGAATGAAATATACAAGTGAGACAAAAACGACAGAAAGAACAAGATTACAAAGAGAACAAAATAAAACTAAAAACAATGTAGACAGCTGAATAACTAACTTACATATGTAACGAGCGACAGTAGAAACTGTTGACTGTGTGTAGATAGGTTTGCTTTTTTTTGTTTAGTTGAGAGATCTTCAGAAGACACCCCCTGATGGGAAGTAGTGTCGGATTCGCTGAAACGCCTACCGACTAAAATCTCTCCTTGAATAGGGAGATCAACCCGGAGGTTGTACATACTAGGGATGGTTCAATGGAAAGTGGTTAGGGGTGAGAAGGGGATGGAGTGCAGGAAAGGAACTGTTGGGCTGAATGGGGGTTAAATGAGAATTGGTGGCCCACCTCGGATTAGTTGTGTGTGCACTAGCGCTAAGAAAGCGAAACTAGTAATGCGCGAAAAGTAAGAAGCTCAGAGTTAAGGTGGCAGGGCCTTCTGATGAAGCGGCCGTTTGGCTCAGGATTGAAATAGGAAAGCTTCGATGGGTCTGGGTGACCTGACAGTAAGATCGGAGATTTGCGGCGAACCTGATTGCAGCCTCGGGGAGTGTAGGTAGACCAGTTTCATTCAGAATTTGGGTGTTTCTGATGAAGTAGGGGTAGTTGAATGCGGAACGAAGAATGCACATGATGGGAATGGCGTAGGGGCTAAAGATTCTGATAATTGCATTGAACCCACGGATTTGTGTTTGATGGGAGATGGAACTGTTTTGGAAGAAGGGCTTGAGGGAGATGAGACCTTCGAGCTAAACTCAATCGAAGACTTGCTGGATGCCAAACAGAAGCGTGGAAGTGTACAGGCAGTTGTTTCGGTTGTCAGAAATGTGTTCAGAAATACGGAGAAGTTGATGGCCGGTACCGTGCTGACTGCGGAAACCCTATTGACAGTCGGGTAGAAGGTTGTTTCGCTTTACATAGTTAAGAAGCTTGTCTAAAAGGATGGATTCAACAATTTTGCTCAGCAAACTGAGCAGGCTCATGTGCTTGTTGCTTGAGGGAGAGCTGAGGGGATTCCCTTTATGTGGAGACAGATGACAATGGCTTCCTTCTAGACCAGTGGGAGGTAGTGGATCCGAATGGTAGCGTTTGCAATGTTAGAATGTCGCCTGCGACGACGGTCGAGACGTTTCGAGGGATTTTGTTCAGGTGAGAAGGGGGTAAAGGGAAGTGAATCTGAGAAGGCCGGAAGTTGGCCAAACTTCAATGCAAACTGCTTATAATGAATTGATGACCACTGACTCAATCATTCAACCTGAGCAGCTCTGAAAATACAGTCGGGCAATAGTCGAAATTAATAATTTGCTTTTCATACGACTCTTTCACAAAGTGGTATTTAAGTTCAATCAATTATTTGAATATATTTTGCTGCAATTAAAATATCATTTACATATACTATAATATAAAGTTTTTATTATAAATAGTCTTGACACATAAACAAGCATCGATATTACATTTATGAAATTTGTATTTTGTCAATATTTCATAGAGTTTCTGATTCCAAGGCCCTGACAGATTGTTTTAAACCGTAAAGACACTTGTTCAATTCGCAAAAACTCCTTTCTTCTTTTTCGATGACAGCTCTATGTAAATTTTCTCTGCCAGTTCTCCATTTAAAAATGCTGCTTTTGCGTCGAGATGTTTTATTATTAAATTTTTTATTCCATGCCTGCGCTAGCAATAATCTGAAGGTTGCTTGCCTCACCACAGGTGCGAATCTCTCATCATAATCTACACCAAACTTTTGACTAAAGCCTTTTGCTATCAATCGTGCTTTGTATTTGTTCAAGGTCTTGTCTTCAGCTGTCTTTATCTTGAACACACATTTACATGATACTATGCTATCTCCTTCCTGTTTAAGCACCAGATCTCATGTTCTATTTTGGCATTCGCGATTGGTAAGAGCCTCTTTATATATTTTAGGCACCATTTCATATAGTTCAACCAGCTTTGCCATTTAGCTTTCAGATGGAATTCCTTTACTTTTGCTTTTCGATCCTTTGCGACCACCCATATAGTTACGATCTTTATTCTGTTTGTCAAGTTCATTTTCGTGTGGAACGATTTT